CCCCCCCGCCCGCTCCTTTCCAGTCTGGGGGGCCTCTCCTGGAGTGCAGGTTGATTTTGAAAGGGAAAAGAGCAATTCAGAAATGCAGTCGTACTATCCATTCTTGAATATTGCTCTGACAATGCGGTTTTGATGGTTCCTCTGTATTCGTTTCTTTTGCGTGAGATTTTTGGGCTCTTCTGGCTGTATCTCGGCTTTCTCGAGAGTCATCAAACATTAACTTAATCCACTTCCACTTGAATTTTATTTCGGTTCTATTTTAGGTTTGGAATTCTAATAATTAATTCTTTGTTATTGTTTTTATTACTTATCCCTGCATTATTGCTATCATTATTACTTTTATTATTTTCGTTACCTTCGCAACTCATTAGGTGTTCGTTCAGCTTTTTCTCAAGTAAAGGGAGACTGTCGCTTCATAACCATACTTTTCGTCCTCTTGCACAAATAGTCGTTTGCATATATTTAACCGATTGCGAGCAAATGCTGTTGGATGGAGGGGTTAGTCTCAGCATTCGATAACTGGACCATTCGGATTGGGCCTTTCAAAACAGTTTTCTGAAAAATCGAAGTTTTTGTGTGTGTATGTTCGATGAAGCAGGTGGCGAACGATCTAGTTGTCAGCTGAAACCATTCTCTGCTGGGCTGTCAGTGACTACATCCGAGATTGGTAGTACTTGCACGCGCAACGTTTTCTGACAGTGTTTGTTCATCGCCGCAAGGGTTTCTCGGAAGTGTGCTTTCGATGCATATTTGGGCTGCCGTGCGCGTAAACACTATTCGCGGCAAGAAAATTTGAATGTGAGGATTTTCGGAAGTCACTGCGCGAATGGCCGACCCATGCACCGAGCAAAAAACCGGAGAACCGTTGAGAGGGGAGGGGGGGCAGAGGAAGCGGGAGGGGGAGGGAAGAAGAAATGAAAATTGCAAGAATCTAGATGTCATCGACCGGTATCAGGAATGCAACATTATGAAGTTATCAGTAGTGATAAAGCATAAAGTTACATTAAAAATTAGATGAATAGTAATGTTCTGGTCGGTTGTTCCTATTTAGCACCGCAGCTGGATCTTGTTTCGGTGCAGCGATAGTGGCGTTGATGAGGGGTAATGTAGAATAAAATAGATTTCTATAAGAAAATAGGTTATAATTTTTAAAGACAAGAAGTGATAATTTTAAGAAAAATAAAATGGAGAGCACTGAGAATTGACTGACGAATGATATGTAGGAAATTGAGAAGTGCCAGTTACTGATATTAGTTTAGCTTTTAAAAAGTCGACCTCTCCAAGCCATTTGCAAATCTGCACTTCTCCGTCCTGCGTACATTCAAGTGCTTGTCAGAAACACTAGGGAGAGAAATGTACAAGAAAATAAGTTATAATTTTTAAACAAGGAGGTGGGGAAGGGAAGGGGGAGGGAGAAGGGAACAAAAGGGGAAGCGTCTTCGCGAAAGTCTGCCTTTCGGGTTTCTACTCTGGATCTGCAGACTTAGCCCTGCTAAAGGAGCAGCAGTTCGCCGGTACCGTTGCGGTCCTTGGAATACTGGCATGAAATGAAATATCATACGAAGAAGCAGCGACAAGAGCAGCAGCAGCAGCAGCACGATCAATAGAGGACAGTACTGAGGGCTGCTCCATTGGTGCTCCCTCCGCTTATAATTCACTCAATTTGCAGCCGGGCTCCATGTGCAGATCCAGTGAATGGGGTGCCGAATTATTATTACCTGATCATTCGCTGTTGTCATTTTATGGGTTCTTCCTGAAAAGTCTCATTGCGGCGAATCGTGCTGCTGTGCCATTGCGTTTGTATTTCTTTTAGCAATAGCTCAGAAGGGAGGTATTGTGAGGGTGGAAACTCGTAGGAAGATGAATATCTGAGGGTGAAGAAGGCTTTGAGAGAGGAGGCATTCTGAGGACGGAACACGAAAGAAACAAACCACTTTATCATCGAAATGTCAATACCTCTTTAGAGTGTGTTTCTCGGAACTCGTCACTGAGACATTTTTCTTATTCCTTCTTTCGAAATTGGTGCCTCTCATTTCTATATTTTTCTGGAGGTTCGCCCAGAAGTCTCGAAATTTTGGCAGTCCACACAAACTCTTAAATGCCCTCTCCCCGGATTTTCGAATTTTTTACTTTCTACACTACTTTTCTGTACGCCTTACACTCTGCTCATAGAGTTATTCTTTACCGCATCCATAATGAGGCTACCTGAATGCTGTCAGCATTGAAGCCAGTTTTTGAGTGTATGCGTCATTTCGTCGGCCTGCTTTCGAGCAGCTTTTTTTTTTTTGAAAATATCTCTCTCAGAGTGACTGAGTCTAGCAGCACTACAACTTTCTGTACCATATGCTTCCAAAGACAGATGCTGGTACAAATGTATTATTTGAACTTTGAAAAATATACCTTAACGAAATTCGTGTCATATATAAACTTTGTACAGTATTTGCCAATTTGTCGGATATACAGAATTTTCTCTGTTTTGCTCCAAAAAAGAAACTTTTGCAATACTGTCTCTGGTGCCAAATCATAGCTCGAGGAATATTGCCCACGCAAAAATCGGTTCTGCACTGCGTTTCATTTTGCTAAACTGGAACATCACATATCATTTCTAACCCGGTCGTTCACCGTACCGACTAACTGTGCACTCATCGAACTCGGCTCTCTGAGAGCTGAATTCCAGCGTTTGAGTGTAATCGTGCTGGTGCAGCTGGTAGCAAACGGTACCGCTCGTCATGATGCATCGCCGCAGCGGCATCAGCCCGAACTCTTCTGCATCCTAGAACGAAGCAGGCGGCTCTTAATGATTTCCACATTTTCCAAAAGAAGCTTGATTCGGATATCTTTTTCCACGGCATGCAGGTCCCAGAAGTTCCCTGCTTTTCCACTCGGACATCTTTGTGAGGGATCTGATACAGGATTTTTCTGGAAAGATGGGTTACGCTGGACAGATTTTCGAGCACGCATTGGCAAATAATCTTCTGATTACCACCTCACTATGGGGGATCAATGGAAAGTCTTTTAATTAAAGGTTCACTGCAGGAGATCAGAGGAATGTAATCAGTTTTAAAGGAAGAAGGGAATTGTTTCGTTTTTCTTTATGTAAAAAATTGAAATTTAACTTACACGTTTTGCAAAAAAATGAGACTTCTAATTGGCTGACCACCTGTTGAGGCAGAAAATGAAGAGAGTCGCTGGTGTACTGTGCAAAAAAAACAGGTCCAGAGAATATTTTGTAAATTTGATGACCTGAAAAAGCGGTTTCATGCATCGTGATGGATACCCTCAATAATACCTCCAAATGCGTGAGCTTATTGGCAGAGGAGACAATTTATTGAAACGGAGGAATTGCAGTCAAAATTTGTTCGGCGTTGTTCCTACGTAAAATTTCAACGGAAAAAATTTGTTAGCAATTTTGCTTTGTTAGCGTCGCTGGGCTTTCCGTCTCTCTCGAGCACAGCATAATTTAAAAAAAAAAAAACCTGAAATTTAACATTTTTATTAATTCTGTCTGTACATTTTTCATCAAACAAATTTCCTATTTCAAAAAATGCAGGAACATTAAAATGCTTCTCTCTCTTCATCTTTGCCTCACTGTCCCTTCTTCCCTCTCTACCCCATATTTGCAAATTTTCCTAAAAGTACTCTAATTGAAAAAAAGGCAATCGGCGTCTTCCAGTTCTTGAAATGATTCATTTTCGCTTACTTCATATTTCTCGTTTTTTTCGCCCAAACTGATTAATTTGACTCTCAGCGCCTCAAAAAGAACATGCATACCTTCTTAG